GGAGCGGGGCGGGGAGCGGGGCCGGCACCGGGCAGCGGAGCGGGGGGAGCGCGGAGCGGGACCGGACCTTGGCGGGGGCCGGCAGCGGTGCGGAGCCGCGGGACTACGCGTCCCGGCAGGCAGCGCTGCGGGGCGGAAGGGGAAGGGAAGGGAAGGGGAAGGGAAAGGGGAAAGGAAGGGGCTGGAGCGGGCCGGGCCGGCCCCGGGGGGGCGGTACGCGGCGGGGAAAGGGACGGGCGGGGGAATGGGGACGGGGAGGGGGGAGTGCTTCGCACAGCTCTTTCCCCTGGGGATGGGGGTGCCCCCTCGCACCCCCCCACACCCCCACCCGGCGGGATGGCAGCCGTGGCAAGGGGGGGGTGCTGGGGGGTGCGCTGCTCTGCCCCTCCCCAAAGCAGCCCCGGCGGCTCTGCCTGTACAGGCCGCCTCCTTCCATCTCCTCGGAGGTCTGTGGGGTCCTCCCTGACATCCCACTCCTCCCGGGACATCCCCTCCCCTTTTTCCTGAGTCCCAAGTCCTTTTAGGAGGGTCCCGCAGCCCCCCCCGGGCACTGCCCCCTCTCTGCTCCAGCTGCTTCACCTGGCCTGGAGGGAGCAGGTCCTGTCCAGGGGTCCAGGCTGGGAAAAGCAGCAGCTCCCCAATATTGGGGCCAGCTCTCCTTCAAGGCCTCCTCCTTCTTCACAGCCCAGCATTGCATACAGGTCCCACAGCCTGTTCCCGGGGCAGCGGTGTCCTCAGCAAGGGCTGGTAGCCATGGGATGGCAGTGAGCCTGACTCGGCTGTCAGGGTCTCTTTTTCAATCCTGCACATGTGGTTTTTTGCCTTTCTCAGCCTGTGGCCCAGGCTGGATTAGCTCCACAGGGAGCCTGGTTAGAAATAAGTCTCTCGGATGCCTTAATGCTGTGCAGGACCCCCAAACTGTGGTGCAGAGCAGGGGAGGGGGTGGCAGCAGGAGGAGCGGGGCTGCAGGTCTCCCCCTCATTTGGGGACATCATCCCAAGTCTGGAGGAACAGCAGGACAGTGGTTTGCTGGGCTGGAGCGTGTTTAGCAGTGGTAGGAGGATTTGTGTATGGGTGACAAAGCAATTGAATCTAGAGGTGTTTGGGATGTGCAAAGCCATCAGCCCTAATGGCATCAGGGTTTGGCCGGGGTGCCAGGCTCTGCCCTCGGGGCAATGGGAATGGGCACCTAAATACTGTAGTTTGGCTTGCAGAAAGGGGAAAAGTAGTCGGTGTTAAAGTGTGTCATCTGGGTCCTCCGGTTCTGGGACCAGGTGGGGTGTATTGAATAGCCAAGGCAGGCAAGGCTGCGATGGGTGTTTCTTACTGATAGGACAGACTCAGCCCTCCATCACCTGAGGCGTGGGCAAGGGTGCGACCCCTGAAATATGTGTCCCTGAACCCAGTGATGCTGTGGGGAGGTGCAGGGAAGCATTTGCCGTGGGGTAGGCTAACCCAGCAGTCACCTCTCCCAAGCAAACCCATCACTGGTAATGCAAACCACAGCAAAATACTGCTGGATGTGGCATCTGGCTGCCCAGAGCTGGGGTCCTGGGAGAAGCATAACCCAGCCAAGGAGTTTCATGGGCTGTAGCAGCCCCTGTAGTCCTGGCCATCAAAGAAACCCACAAGAAATAAAAAAAATAGGAACTTCAGAACCGCTTGAGCCAACCCATGAACAAATAATTTTAATGTTTTTTTTTTAGCAGACCGTAGTTTTCTCGGAGCTCCACAGTCTCCTCTCTTTGAAGTTGGACAGATACAGTAAACACAACAAATATATGATACAACCCATCACAGCTGGATTAAAAAAAAATACACAAAAAATATAATACATAAAAAAATGGATTTTTAACATTGTGGACTGACACAGCTCTAAAAATGGTGATTGTAACCCTGGTAAGCTTTACAAAGTCTTTAAAAAAATAAAACAGTACTTCATGTGAAATTCATAAATACACTGGAGGAGAACAGAGGGGCTTGGGGGGGGGGGGTTGAGAAAGTGTCTCTGGGATTGTGGCTAAACCCCGGCCGGGGCCGCTGGGGCCACCAGGCAGCGTGTGCGTGGGGTGCAGGTGGGCACCCCGGGACTTGGTGCAGGTGGGGTGGAGGGATGCAGGGATGGAGCGAGGGATGGAGGCACAAACCGGTCCAGTTAAAGAAGAGCTTTGTCCCCTGGCAGGGCCGGGAGCAGGGCACGCCTGTGTTTTATGGCGGGGAAGTTTTGAGTTTTCATTCCCAGAGATTTACATCAGTGAGTGAAACGGAAGAAAGAAAAAGAACCACGAAACAACAAACAAACATGCTACATATGAGAACTCGGCCGGGTGGCCCCAGCACAGCCCTGGGGTGGGATGCTGGTGCCTTTCCCTGGATTTTTCCCTCTCTCTTTCCCCCCTGCTCCGACCACCCCTGCTCACTGCGGCCACCTCCATCCAGCCCCACCACCGAGTCCTCGCCCGGGCACGGGGCCGGGGTGGCTCTGCCCCATCCCGCAGGGATTGGTGGCTTCTCCCAGCAGCGAGAGGTTGAAGTCCCCGCACCTCACAGGACACGTGGCATCGCGATGGCAGCCAAGGCCCTTTCCTCAGCCCTGGGGCTGTTCCTACTCCTCCGCACCCAGCAGCATCGAACCTAACCCCCCCTGCATCCCAGGCTCCAGCACCCCTCAAACCACTCCTGCCCTCCCGCAGCACCCAGCTCTGCAACTCCCACTGCCTTCACTCTCCCACCGGCACGAGAAACCCGGCCAGACTTGCCCATCTTGGGCTCTCCATCCCCCTGCCAGCCCCCTGCCACCCTGCTCCATGCCACCGCTGCAAAATCTGACCTCTGTCCCTCTGCGTCCCCCGCCCTGCACCCCGGGGATGCTCTCCCTAGGCTCTGCCTTTGCAGCCACAGCCTCAGGACCGGGCACGTTGCCTTGGCTTATTTTGGGCTGCAGCCACAAAAATATCTCCAGGCAGACCCAGTCCCCTGTCCTGGCATCCCTCCTGTCCTCTGTCCCCTCTTTGTCCTCTCTGTCCCAAACTCTGCCCACCTGCAGCCTGGTCCTGCATTGCACAATGTGCTTTTCCCTGCACGAGCCGCCTCCCCAGCCGCTTCCCGCGGGATGCAAGTGAGCCGGCCAGAGCGGCTGCAGGGAGCAGCTGAAACCAGAATAGTCAACACAGAAAAAAGGCAAAAAAGGTGAAAAAAAAAAAAAAAAGAAGAAAAAAAAGGTGGAAAATGTACATATGCAAAGTAAATCAGACAAATCCACCCTCACTGCTCTCCTCATTACTCCTCAGCAAGCAACCATGGGGTGGGGGGGGGTATGTTTAGCCTGAGCCACCCCCAAGTGCAATTCCTGAAAGCACATGCAGAGCTCAGGGGATCCCACTGCCACATAAAAACCAGCCTCCGGTCTGCAGCAACCCCCGAGAAATGAAGACACCCCCCCAAGCCTTCCCTGCAGAAACCAGCTCCCCATGCCCAGCAGTTTTGCTGCATGGCTCCGACCCAGCAAACTCAGCTGCGTCACCTCCTCCGGACACCGGCACGGTGCAGGGGTGGCAGAAGAGCAGGTCCCGGACACCACAGAGGGGCATAATCCTGATTACAAGCATGGTGTCTTTTTAAAAAGTATTAAAAAGCACTTCAATTTTAAAAAAAGGAAAAAAAAAAAGAGCCATAAAAAAAATGGTTTGCATCGTCGATGCCCTCCCGCCTTCAGCGCCGCCAGCTCCCGGTTCCCTGGCTGGACACAGAGAAGGAGCATCCTGGGTGCCGGTTCCCGGAGAGGCGGCAGCATCCCCCTCCACCGCCCTGCCCTGCCCTTCTCCTACCTGCTCCCACCTTGGCACGTCTGTCCCCACGTCCCCACCGCCACCCGGGCTCTGCCAGGCAGTACCGATGCCGTGGCCGCTGCCATGCCAATCGGTTTCGGACCAGACGTGGCACAACGCCACGTCCTCCAGCCCGTCCGCGCTTGCTCCTCTCTGCTCGGGACCAGGACCGCATCTGAGTGAGGTGGGGGAGCGAAAGGAGGGGTCATCCTCCGCACCGATGTCCCGCTGCTGGCGGTGGCACGGCACGATCCCGGCCTTCATCGGCGACACTGAAGGGCCGGTCTCTCCCCATCCAGTGCCGGACGCAGGTTTCCTTTCTCCCTACGCTTCCTTTCCCATTCTTCTTTTTTTTTTTTTTTATTTATTTAAAAAAAAAAAGAAACTGTTCCTAAGTAGAAAACATCTGCGATCGCAAGTCAGTCTTTTTTGGCTATTGTTTTTCTTCCTCCTCCTCCTCCTCCTCTCTTCAAATGACTTCTCACGAGGCAACGGGCACGGGCGGCTTTTCTGCACGGCCCCCTCCCTCCCCTGTGCACCCCTCGTGCCCCTGCCCGTCCCCGAGGGCCCCTAGTCCTTGACCAACTTGTACACGTGGTGCTGGGCGCCGTGCTCGCTGGTGGAGACCTCGAAAACGAAGGCTATGCAGAGCAAGGTTTCCTGGGTATCCCTGTTCGTAACAACCTGCGGCAGAGCAGAGAGCGCGTTAGGAGGGGGCTGTGCCCATGGGGAGACGCTGTTATTCGGGGGGTTGCACGGGCTCAGGTACAGCCACTTTATTTGCACCATCAAGATTTGCTCCCTGTAATTCAGGGGGTTGCATGAGCTCAGGGACAGCCACTTTAATTGCACCACCAAAAAATCACTACCTGTTATTTGGGGGGTTGCACAGGTTCAAGCACAGCCAATTTAATTACACCAGCAAAAATTTACTACCCAGTTTTGGAGGGGGGGGTTGCATGGGCTCAGGCACAACCAAATTAATTGCACCACCAAAAAATTACTACCCATTATTTGGGAGACTTACACAGGCTCAGACACAGCCAGTGTATTTGCACTGCCAAGGCTGGATGCCCCGGGGCTGGGCAGCGCACAGCAGGGATGGCAGGGTCGATGCAAGTGTGGGCTCCACGCTTGTCCTGGTTTCAGCTGGGATAGAGTTAACTGTCTTCCTAGTAGCTGGTACAGTGCTGTGTTTTGAGTTCAGCATGTGAAGAATGTTGATAACACTGATGTTTTCAGTTGTTGCTCAGTAGTGTTTAGACTATAGTCAAGGATTTTTCAGCTTCTCATGCCCAGCCAGGGCACCTGACCCAAACTGGCCAACAGTGTATTCCATACCATGGGACGTCCCATCTAGTATGGGAATTGGGAAGTGGGGGGCAGGGATTCGCCGCTCGGGGACTGGCTGGGTGTCGGTCGGCGGGTGGTGAGCAATTGCCCTGCGCATCATTTGTACATTTCAATCCTTTTATTACTACTGTTGTCATTTTATTAGTGTTATCATTATCATTATTAGTTTCTTCTTTTCTGTTCTATTAAACCGTTCTTATCTCAACCCAGGAGTTTTACTTCTTTTCCTGATTTTCTCCCCCATCCCACTGGATGGGGGGGGAGTGAGTGAGCAGCTGCGTGGTGCTTGGTTGCTGGCTGGGGTTAAACCACGACAACGCTCCTGGTGGGAAATGCTCCCTGGAAAAGGAGGGAAGGTACCTGCAGGATGGTGAAATTCTCCAGGACGCTGTTCATCATGTACTTCTCCGGGAGGTGCTTGAGTTTGTGGATGAAGTTGATCATGTACTCGCACATGGGAGACCGGTGGATGCGGTAGACGAACCGGCCGTTCTCCAGCCGCGCGTACTCCGTCTGCGGGGGACAGCCGGGGTGAGCAGCCATCCCATGGGAGCCGAAAAACCGCAGGGGATGTGGGCACGGGCAGGTGGTGGCCAACTGGGACATGGTGGAGGTGTCCTCTCTGCTCCACCCATGGACGGGCATGCATCCATGTGTCCTACACCCAGCTCTGGGACTTTCTTTATCCCGGGACCCCTGTGGACCTGATTCCCACCCCTTCCCAATGCAGTAGGGCACGGGACTCACCTCCACCTTCTCCACGACCTGCTTCCCAAAGGAGCACACCTTGGTGGAGACCGTGATGGTCATGTTCTCTGCACTGCTGTACTGGCTGCTGACACCATAGAAAGTCCCCGGCCCATCCTGGATCGTGCTGTTCAGATCCGCCTGGAGAGATGAGAGGAGGGAGAGGGTCCCGTTAGGTGCCATCACACCCAGTTCTCAATGGGGACAGGGGACACCGGCATATGGAGTTACTCAGGGTAGTCCTGCTTCACCAGCAGGGTGCCCAACCTGCAAGGAGTCCATGGCTCAAGGACAACCGTCCCCATCCTCATCCTCCCAGCATCATACCCAAAATTTGACGAGGAAGAAGGAGTTCTGGGGCCCACGCTCATAGAGCTCCTTGAGGCCACCTTTCTTCTCAGGGAACTTGTCATAGATCTGGCGGATGTCCACGGCCTCCAGCAGCGGATCGCTGTACGAGGGGTTCGTCTGGCCGATGTGCACGAAGAGGTGTTTGCTGTACTGTAAGGACCGGGGCAGGGGAGGGAGAAATAAAAAAAAAAAAGAGAGGTCAGATGAAAGCAAGATGCCACCAAGCACAGGGATGGGCACCATCCCACCCGGGTGGTGGGGACACGGAGGGGACCATTACCGTTTCGGCATCCCGTGGCACCTCCATGAAGGCGGAGTACTCGAGGAGCCGGAGCTTGGCGGAGGCGATGGTGCGGTCCTGCCAGACGGGCACGGCCGAGGCGGCTGGCGGGAGCGGAGCCAAGGGCTCGTAACCTGGGGTGGGGGGGCAGCCATGAGCTGGGGCGAGCCCCCCCTCTCCCTGCACTGCCATGGCTCTGCTGTCCTTACCGCATCCCCCCACCCTTCCGTATCTCCCAGCATGAGGATTTTCCCATGGGGCAGCCAAAATATGGGATGTGCCAGTCCCGCTCCTGGGGACACACAGCCGGGAGCAGCAGGGTCCCACTCACCATGGAACTTTTCACCAGGTTTAAACTGAGGCTTTTCCCCCAGCAGGGCTGGGGACAGGACCGCAGGTTGGTGGCACTCTGGGTGGGAAGGTGGCATGGGACAGGGGACAAATAGGAGCTAGCAGGGGTGCAGGGTCCCCTGCAAGGGGGCAAGGACAGCACTTACTGGCTAGTGATGGAGGCATGGGTGGCTGGATGGGGTAAGCTGGTTGTGCAAACGGTTTAATGCTGGAAAATAAAGAGCATCGTTAGGTTAACGAAGCCTGGATCGCCCCAGCCCCTCACCAAGGGGGGGTCCTGCCCAGCACCGGGCAGCGGAGGGGTCTTGTACTTACTCCTGAGAGGGTCCAGGCTGTCCTGGGATAGGCCCACTCCAAAACTGTGGGAACAGCACAGGGAAGAGTCAGCGGCTTCTGAACCCCCCCAAATTCCCCTCCCCACCTACTGCAAATCACGAGGAGCCCCCAACCTCCCCCCTTGCATTGCCACCGCAACCAAGGGGCCATCGAACATCCCCCCATCCCTGGGAGGCTTGTACATGGGGATCCATGTCCCCCCCACACCCCAGGGTGTCCCCATACGGGGGGGTGTGGGGCTGTCCTCACCCTGGGGGCAGCAGAGAAGACGGCCTGAGGAAGAGGAGGGGGGGGGCTGAGCTTGTTCTGCAGGACGCTGGCCGACACAATCTGTGCGGAGGACATGGAAGCCATGCTCTGCAGAGCCTTATCCTTCGAGACCTGGTCCTGGGGGGGAGACAGAGGGGACAGGAGGGAGACGGGGGTTACAGGGGCAGACCGAGCCCCCCCCCCCGCAAATCCAAGTGTGCCCGGCAGGTTTTGCAGAGCTCGGAGCTGGTCGTGCAGCCTGGCCAAGGGACCAGGGCAGGTGGATGCCCCCCACCCTTAAATGCACCCATGTTAATTAATACTTGAAGCTTGCAAATGTCCCCTGGGCAAGAGCTGCTGGGTCTGGCAGGTGTCCCCGCTCCCCCAGGGACACAAAGGGTTTAGCCCCTCCAAAGAAGGGGGCAAAAGGTAATGGGGAATAGATGACATCACAAACTCAAGCTCAACTTACCAAGTTCATGGCCTGTCCGCAAAAGAAAGGAAAAAAAAATGTTAGAGCATCATGGGAGCCTGCGGGCACTGTGTGCACCCCCCCCCAAGCTGTGTATCCCCCACCCCAGCTCATCACCACATTCTGATTCGGGGAGCAAACCCCTCGACCCAGCTGGTCACCAGGGGATGCACATGGTGGGCACCAATGCCTGGGCTTAATCCTGTTGGGAACAGGATGCCAAAACCCCCCTGCTATTTTATGGGGTTGCTGTGGCAAGCCAGGCCTGTGCCTCTGTTGGCTTTTTAATTCCTTTTACAGCCTTTAATATCCTTTACAACCTCCTCAGCAGCCCCCAACGCTTGCAACCAGGGCACGGAGAAGAAGAGCCGCCCGGGTCCTGCCCTGCCCGGCAAAGGGCACCTGCACCCGGCTGCCCGGGGATGTTGGCACCAAATCCCCAATAGGCACCACAAGGAAGACCCTGGGCACAAACCCCCTATGCCATATGTGCATTTATATAGAAGACCAATTATTTTTCCTTCTCCCTTTTGCTCCGGAGGTCACAGCAGCACTGGGCAGTAGCGGAGGGCTCTGAGGTCTTGCCCTGGGGCCGGGCTGCTCCTCCAGCCACATCACCAGGACACGGGTGTGCTGGTCCCACCACACACCCTCTGTTTTCCCTCTGAACCTTCCTCAGGGATCAATTGCTTCATTTATTTTCACCTGGAGCAGGGCAGGAGTGGGGGCATGCAGCCACATGTTGGGCAGCACTAACACGCACATGACTGCAGCTTAAAAATATATATATTGCTCACGGAAGGGAGTTTCCATTCAACAGGACAAGCGCTGGGTGAGGGCAGAGTGCTGCCTGAGCCGGGCTTTGCCTCCAAGTATGGCTGGGAAGGGATGTTCTGCATCCACAGCATATCACTTCAGGGGATCTCTGCCCCCGCTGTTCCCTACTGGATTCCTGGAGGCAGCATGGCCAGGGATGGAGAGCACAGCCATGGACACCGGCCTCCATCCTCAGACCCCTGGGGTCACTCCTGCCTCTGATTCCCCCTTGCACTGCGCTGTGTGGCAAGGAAAGCCTATTTAATTTTATTTATTTATTTATTTATTTAGTGCAAAGGCTTCTGCTGTTGCTGATCCTGCTGCCACCCCCTCCCTGGCTGCACCTCTTGGGGCTGGGAGCTGGGTTTAAAAGACATACAAGCCCAGAGGAGCCTCCCAGAATAGTTTCAGGTGCCCTTTCCCGGCTTCTCCCAGCAGACCAAACCCGCCGGGGTGTGGGAGCCCTCCTGGCACCCCACTTATAGGGCACCAGGGTCCCTGCTGAAGGGCTTTGGAGGGCACGACTTGGTGGGCTCCCAGCCAGCATGAGCCAGAGGTCCTTAAATCTTTGGGGACCAAAATGCCAGCACCAGCTCTGATGGGTGGCCCCTGCTGCCAGCTTCAGTGCTGGAGGCTTGGACACAGCACCCAGGATGGGGCAACTGGGACGTGGGGAGCTGGCGATGCTTTTGGGACCTTGAGGTCACAGCAGTGGGGTTGAAAGGTTTTCTGGGCTCCCACACCCTCGCCAAGGCAGCAGTTCCCCCCTGGATCCTGCTCTCCGGTGTGACAGCACAGGGATTATAACCCAGGAGCATCCCGGGCTGCGCAGCCCAGCCGGGAGCTGGCTGTCCCCAACAGGCAGTCGTGCACTGGGGACCTCTCTGTCCCCCACCTTGCACCATCTGGGTCCAACCCGAGCAGGGCTCAGTCCTTCGGCGATGTCCCCAGTCCTGCCCATACCCCCCCCATCATCACCCTCCCCACCACCGCCACGGTTACGGAAGGGTTAGTCGGGCTCCAGTTAGGAGGAAGGAAGGAAAGAAAAGCCGACCAGAGAAGAGAGGATGATCCAGTTTTTCCTCGCTCGGCTCCCTTGGCCCCTGGAACCATGGGCTGCTCTGGCACCATCATGCCCCCTCCCCAACAGCATGGCCCCATCCGGACCCGCTGCCACCCATATATCCCTGACGTGCCACCTGGCATGTACAAGCCACTGGGCTGACAGCCTGCAGGGACCCCCCAGGACCACCCCTGCTTCTGCCCACATCCCACCGGCACCCGTCACGAGCAGGGCCAGGTCTCAGCTTGTGGGGGAGGCCCTTTGTACCCCTTGCTTGAACCTCACTTTGCCTCGCTGGCTGCTCTGGGGGGTCCTTCCCCTCCTGGGAGAACCCCTGATGGCCCAAAAGAGGAGGCAGCCCTTGTGTATCACTGGAGGAGGGTTTAAACCCCCATTTCTCCGTGGGGTAGTCCTTGCCTGGGTGAAAGGAGAGGATCTGACACCCAAATTCACCCTCCTGGGGGAGAGGGAAGGGCTCTGGTGTTCCCACAGCTGGACCCCCCTCCCTTGCACTTCTCTCTGGGCATCCCACAACAATGCCACTAAAAATAATCCGGTCCCAGGAGCCGAGGGAGAGGGAAGAAAAAAAAAACACCAAAAAAAGAGAGGTATAAAAGAAAGCAAGCAGCACACCGCAGAGCCGAGTGCGTTAGTCGTCAGCAGGCAGGCCAGGCGGGGCCGGGGCGGAACGCGTACCTTCAGCTTGGACTGAATCTCACGAGATTTCCGTCGGGCAAGAACCTGCAAGTGGCTAGAGACCTGCAGAGAGAGAGCAGAAGGAGAGGGGGAACAGCAGAGCCGTCAACCAGAGGAAAGGAGGAGGAAGGAAAGGGGCTGCCCATGCTCACAGAGACACCGCCGCAGACACCTGGGCAAGGGCACCAACGTACCTTGATGCCAACCTGGTACTCCCGCACCTTCTTCCGAGCTAGAACCTGTATGTGGCTGGACACCTAGCGCCCGCCACGCCGTTCGGAAAGGAAAATACAGAGAGCGTGAAGATATGTTCCCCCCACAAGGTGGGATGCTGTCCCCGGGGAAGGGAGCGTGGAGAAGGAGGAGGGGGAGCATGTGGGGCTGCCGGGGTGATGCTCCTGGAGATGCTGAGGGTCCTGCGCCCACCGCGAGCTGGAGGGAGGAAAAATGGGGGGGGACACCCCGGTGCTGCGCTGATTGATGCTGGTTTGTGGCCCCACCCCAGTTGGGGTGAAGCTCCTCAGAGTGAAGCTGCTGCGGTTGTGGGGTCCACATTTACCATCTCTTGGGGCTTCCCAGACAGAGAGAACCCCCCAACCCCTGCGAGCGCAATGAGCTGCTGCTTGCACACAACACTGAGGATATGGCCCAGCTGGTTTGGGGGTGCCCCTGGGTTACCCCAGGTGGGGCTGCAGCAGGACTGCCAGTCCCAAGGGAGATCCAGGAGGGACTGGCTCATTCCCTGAGGGCTCCTGCTGATCTTGCAGGTGGGAAAGGTGAGAAAAGGGGGTGGGTTTTTTTGTGTGTCCAGACCCCTATAAGAGCAAGATCCAAAGAAAAGGGGCTGATGTACAGGCAGGAAAGGCGCAGCATGGCTGGGGTGCCTGCCCCAAGCCCCAGGCAGGGTGGGAGTCCTGCACCCACCGGGCATTGGGGCTGATTTCAGCAAGATCCTTTTCCCACCAGTGCCAGGCTGTCCAAGAAGGGACACCAGGCTGTCCAGGACACGACTGCACAGAGGGGACAATGCCCCATGCACTCTCCCCTGTGCCTTTCCCGAGTCCCCCTGGAGCATCGCTTTTGCACAGCACCACATCCTTCCCTCCACGAAGGGTGGGCCCAGGGGGTCCAGTTAAGGCTTTAAAGCCAGAAATAAAGAGCTGCTCAGCGCTGGTCTGAACACAAGGACAGTGGCCAGACTCTGGTCCCTCTTCCTCCAGCATCAATCCTAGAGGAATGTCCCCCCCAGTGTCTGGGGACCAGCATCCCTCCCTTGCAGGGACTCGTGGCATGGGCCAGTCCCAACGTAAGTATCCCCATGTCCCAAACCCATCCATCCCCCTGCGATGGGAGATGCACCCACTCCCCAGCATCCTGGGCCACCGGCTCTGCCAGGACAGGCGGCATGGCTCCTGGCTGGAGGCCACCACGGATGGGAGGGAAGAGCCACCAGACCTGTGACAAACGGACATGTCCCATCGAGGGCTGTGGCAGTCCAGTCCTCAGACAGGTCTGGTCTCTGGCATGAGGGTGCAGCGAGGGCTCGCAGCTGGGACGGATGTGACCCTGCCCACAAAATGTGCAGGCAAAGGAGGACCACTGCGTGCTCCCTGCCCTGCCAGCATCCCTGCCTGCGCGCTGCCTGCCCCAGCATCCAACCTTGCAAGGCAGAGAGGTCGGGGCAAGGGCTCTGTGGTACCTCCAGGCCCCCCAGGACCAGCACCACAGCCTGTCCCCTGGCCGGGATGGGGATGCCTTGCTCTCAGCCTGGGGGCTTTGGGGGTGCCTTCACCGCGGCATCCGGCACAAGCGGCGTAAAGCCTGGCAAGGGGCAGAGGTGGGAACGGTCTCTAGATGCAGGTGGAGCAGCAAAAAGATGCATGCAGTTGCACACAGAAGCCCACACGACTTGGATGGAGATTTCAAGGGCTCCTGCCACCCGTGGGGTGACCCCAGCCAGGCAGGGGAGGCTGGGTGCTGCCTGCCCCCGCACCCCAAATTTCAGGGCATCCCCAGATCAGGCTGGGACAGACCAGCCCGAGGGTGTTTGTGCTCACAGACAAAGCTCCTCACGGAGGACGAGGGTCCTGCCGGCAGCAACGGTGGCTCCAGGAGGGGACGCAGAGGACGGGCGATGCAGCCGGACACCCGCTCTCCCCCAGGCTTACCTGGCACCCCCCTCCCACCCCCCCTAAGCTTTCCCAAGAGAACAAGCAGAGCGATGGCCTCACCTGCTTCCTCGTCCGTGTCTTCCCCGTCCGCAGCTTGATGTACCGGGCTATCAGTTCGTTACGACCTGCCGGCAGAGCCAAGGGGTCAGCCCCGGGGAAACGGGGGGGCCAGGGCCATCAGCCCCAAAAGGCACCTCCAGCCCCCAGCCCGTCCTGCCCAGCCCGGCCCGATGATGCTGGTCCTTAACGAGGCCGGTCCTTAATGAGGAAGGCACTGCCAGGAGAAGGCACTGCCAGGAGATGGCGCTGCCACGACAGCTGTCCGGCCCGAGGGGACATCGGGGTGGCCAGCCCCCCCCCCCCCAGCCCAGGGGGACCCACCTTGCGGCCCCCCCACCCCAGCGGCTTTGGCAACCCCCAGATACAGGAGGGTCGGAGGGGGGGGTGACAGCCGCCAGGGACCCCCCGCCACGGCGGTGTCCCCAAACACAGGCAACCACAGCCCCCCCCCAAAAGCCAGCCCCGCTGGAGCACCCCCGGGGGAGCCCATCAATCCGCTCCCCGCAGCCCTTCCCACAGGGGTCCTGGGGTGCCCCCCCTGGCACCCCGCTCCCCTTTTGCAAGCCGTGCTGGCCTTTGCACCAGTATTTCCTAACGTCCTGGGTCTAATTCGAAGCAGAAGTTGCTTTTGCGCCACATTTTAGGGGCCAGCTGTGGCCAATCTACGTTCAAACGTCAGAGCAGCTGGGAGCTTTCTTCTCCCGGCCCTGGCCCCAGCCCCCCCGCCGCCGCGCCCCCCGCACACGGGGGCGGCCAGGCACGCCAGATTTATTTTAATGGACCAGATGGTCGCGGTTGGAACTTGTCGAAATGCCCTTGGAGCGGGTTTTGGCTTTAAAAAAAAAAAAAAAAATCCCTTTAAAAAAAAAATACACACACACACACCACCCCCCCCACCTCTTCCACCCCAGCCGGCCCCCTCCCAGCCCTGGAGCAACTGGGCCCTCCTGGAGGGGGGACACACATGGGGACAGACAGGGCCAGGTGCTGCGCGGGGACGGCTGCGCCTTGGGGTGCCCGTGTCGGGCAGGAGCCGATGGGTGGGTGGCTGGGTCCACCGTGGGTCCTGGAAACGGGAGCACCCTTTGCATGGCCAGCACAGCACCCCGGTGCCACCCCGAAGCACTGAGCACGGCTCCCGGCTCACCAGCCTCATTAGTGCTTAACAAGGGCCAGGACCCCAAGTGTGTCCTTTAAGCCCAGGTGAGATGATGCCCACAGCAGGGTGCTGCCAAGGGGTGCGGGTGCGGGGGACACCAGTCCCGAGCCCCAGTTTGGGGGTACGCCTTCACCGAGCACCGCAGCATCCCCCTTTGCACATCCCGCTCCTGAGTCCCATACCTAGCCCGTGGGAAAGAAATATGGGAAAGAAATGTGGGTGCCTTCATGCACCCCAGTGGAGCAGTGCCAGCCCAGCACCCAGTGCCCAGCACCCAGTGCCAAGCATCTCCTGCACCCATCCTGCCTCGCACCACGTCCCCGCCACCGCCCTGGGCTGCACCCTCGCAGCCTCCCCCCGCAGCTGTCCCCGTGCCCGTGCGCCCCGTCCCTGTCCCCCGTGATTCACCCGGGGCTGTGCCATTCCCTCCGAGAGGGCACGTCCTCCTCCAAATTACCACATTCCCCAAATTCCTCTCCCCTGACACCACCACGTGAACCAGTTGGACGGGCTGGGTTAAAAATAACCCAGCGGGCAGTGAGTGAGAGAGAGGGCCAGCGTGCCCGGCCTGGCCCCCCCCAGCTCCCACCTGCTTCGCCACCCCCACACCATTGGCATCAGTGGGGCACCGGCTGGCATGGGCATGGGCATCCCATGGGACCCCCCAAAAAAGGGGTGGTGTTGGTGAGCAGTGGCACCGGCACACCTTTATGTCAGATGCCGGCATCGCCTCGGCCACCGGTGGCCCTGGGGATCCTGGTAAGCTTGGCACCGCCAGCCGGGGGTCCCGGGGGGTCCCGGTGGGGAGGTGCTGGAGAGGGTGGGGGGAGATGAAAGGCGGCCGGCGGGGCCCGCTGCCTCTTTAAGCAGCTGCCAGATGTCTCCGAAAGGCTGGAAAAACCGGTCGGGGCCCGGCGTGCTGCGCGGGGCCAGGCTCCCGGCGGCACTTCAGCTATTCCCGGAGAAATCCAAAAAATGCACCCGCTTGGGAAGCCCTGTGCTCCCCCCACAGCCGCCAGGCCCAATGCCCCGTATTGGGGGCCCTGGCAAGCAGGGTGGCATGGGGACGGGGACAGTGGCACGGTGCTCACTGCAAAGCCTCGTCCCCTTTGCCCCTCTGTGCCAGCAGCAGGTGAGCCATTGCGGGTGACGGATGCAGCATCCCAGGCGGGTGTATTTTGGAGGCTGAGGATGGAGGCGCTGGCCTTGGTCCCTTCGTCACCGCGGGGTGACGGTAACGTGGCAACCTGTCCCCCTGGGGGTGACATCATGGGAGGTGGAGAGGAGGAGGGACCAGCCCCTACCCTGGCAGGGATGAGGATACCATGGCACCTTCCACCGTTCTTTGGTGGCACCATGAGCCCTGCGCCAGCATCACCCCCTGCCTGCGTCATCCATCCTGGTTGCAGAGAGGCACCAAGACAGAGGTGTTTCGGGACATACGAGGAACTAGGCTGAGACCTGCCCCAAACTCATTGCACCAGTGGGGCCGACCAGCCCCGCTGCTGCCAACAAAGTCACCGAAAGCTGAGCCGGGTTGCTGGTGGCTTGGGGTGGGCGGGTGGCCCTCGCCACCAGGTGCTCTCCGCCACCAGGTCCGGTTGGGGAAGGTTTGGGGAGCGACGCGGAGGCGCACGGGAGCCGGAGGACTGGCACTGGCCCCGCAGTCCTGCGCCCGCTCCCTGCCCGCACCCGCTCCCTGCCCGCACCCGCTCCCTGCCTGACGGCTTCACCAAACCAGTTGGTCCGGCAGGGCCGAGAGAGGGAGGGAGCGGGAGGGAGAGCCAGCGCAGAGGGAGGGGACGTGGGTCACTGCCACCTCCCCGGTCCAGCTCCGGGATGCACCCGGGAAAGCTGCTTTCGGGGTTGCAGGGTGCTCAAGGACGATGGCCCGGTGTGAGTTTGGGGCAGGAGGTTTTGCTTCACCCCCGGCCGCCCCATCCTGCCCCCATCACTCACCGTACATCTTGCCCTCATCCGAGAGGATGATTTTCCGCCGGCCGCAGGGAGGGTAGATCGCCAGCGCCTCCTGGAAGCTCTGCTCGATGTCCGGACTCCACACACCCTCGGCATCATTGTCCAGACTCTTGTCCATGCCGTCCTGGCCATCTTCCCGCCCCTCCCCGGGGCTGCCGCTGGCGTTCCAGCTGTTGGACGCTATGGTGCTGGCTGCTCTGGGCTCCGACCCCGAGCCCCCACGGACACACGACAACCTGCCGGGACACAGGGGACACCCGTTAGACCCGGAGAGCCTTGTTGGGGGTATGGGGTTACAGTGACAGCATGGTCTCAGGTCCGTCCCCAGTGCTGGCCCTGTCCCTACTTGCACCCAGGGCTGGGAGCAGCATCCTGGTGTGAGGCATCAGAGACACAAACAGGCTTTCTTTGGGAGCAGAGCCATGATTTCCATGAGTACCCCCAAAACCAAGCCACAAGTGACCACCCAGGGTCCACTCAAATAAAGTTTGTGAAGGAAACAGCCCGGATGCTGCGTTACCCGTACGAGCTGCTCGGGCGCCCGGCGCCCACGGGTGACACAACGGGGTGGCAGCAGCCCCGCAGCCTGTGAGCCCCAACCCCGCACCAGTACCCGCTGCCACCCAGCCACCTCTTCGGGCAAGCTGGCCCCAAAACCACCCCCAGCCCTAAAAATCCCCGTTCCACCATGCCTGGCAAAGGCAGAGCTGGGATTTGAAGGGAGACGCTGGGCGGCTCCAAGCCAGACCCCGTTAATGGGAACCAGGTGGCCGGAGCCCTCCGGCAGCCCTACCCCTGGCACTGGGAGAGGCCCCCAGCCCCGAGGATGCTCGGCCGGGACCCCGGGCGCTCCCTGGCCGGTGGGTGATGCCAAGGAGCCTTCAACCCTCCTCCTCCTCCCTTTGCCCAGCTCCCGGCGCAGTGTTTTGCAATAACATGTTTGGCGGCAGCTGCCGGCGGTGGGAGCGGAGAGGTGTCTCCTGCGCCGAGCTTCCCGGACGAGCTGGGAGTGTACAAAGGTCTCCGGCGCAGACATCTCCTTTTAAAGGAACTGCAGAAGCCCGCTGGCTCAAGCGCGCTGCAAGGCCTCTTTTTTTTTTTTTTTTTTTTTCTTTTTTAAAAAAAGAAA